CTCACTGGAAGAAAGATAGCCTCTTTAACAAATGGTCCTGGAAAAACTGGCTCTCTACAATGCTGAAAACTCAAACTTGACCCAGGTCTATCACCATGCACTAAGTTAAAGTCAAAATGGATTAAAGATCTAAACATTAAAACAGAGACAGTACATCTCCTGGAAGAGAAAGTAGGAGGAACTCTTGAAGATATAGAGGTAGGCAAAGAGTTCATGAACAAAATCAAACTGCAAGGGAAACAGCTGGAAAAATTAACAACTGGGACCTGCTCTTATTGAGAAGATTTTGCATGTCAAAAGAAACTACCAACAAAGTGAAAAGACAACCCAAAATTTGGAGAAAATCATGACAAATAAGTACTCAAAGGTCTGCTCTCTAGAATTTATAAAGAACTAAAAAACACTAGGGCCCCAAAATTTAAAGACCCAGTCCAAAAATGGGCATCTGAGATGAATACATGCTTCTCAGAGGATGAAATTAAAGAAGCGAATAAATATATGAAAAAATGCTCCACATCACTAGCCATCCACGAAATTCAAATTAAAAAAAGATTGGGATATCATCTCACCCCAGAAAGAATGGCTATCATAAAGAAATCACCCCTCAATAAATGTTGAAGAGGCTGTGGGGAAAAAGGAACCCTTCTCCACTGCTGGTGGGAATGTAGACTGGTACAACTGTTATGGAAATCAGTGTGGAGACTCTTTAGAAAAGTTGGACTGGAAATCCCATTTAAACCAGCTATTCCTCTACTGGGAATTTTCCCGGATGATCTGAAAACATCATATCATAGGGATATGTGTGCCTATGTTTATACCAGCACAATTTGTGATAGCCAACTCTTGGAAACAACCAAGATGCCCATCACCTGAGGAATGGTTGAAAAAGATGTGGTATTTTTACACAATGGAGTAATATTCAGCTATAAATAATGATACACTCAAAGCCTTTATATTAAATGGATGCCACTTGAACATATACTCATAAGTGAAATTAACCAGACACACATATCATATAGTTTCCCTAGTATAAGAACTCAAAAGAAGAAATACAAATAGAAAGGTATAATACAAGTAAAAAGAAAGCAGGAACTCAAGGACTAACCAATTAAGAGAGGGAAAGGAGAAGAGCTAGGAAACATGACAGTGAGAAGCCATACAGTTATATATAGAAGACGGGCAAAGCAATGATCCTGAGAATCTCCAGAAGATTTGTGAATCTAGCAGTTAATTGGAAAGATTCTCACTCTAATTATATATACTAATACCTGTGAACTAAGCAACTGCACTGAAGATGGTAATCTTTAATAGTAGTTTCATGCTTGGAGTGCCTGTCATTCTGGTCTTCTGAATACGGGCTGCTTGTCATGACATGCCAGTTGCTGCTGTGTGCTGTCTCTCAGGTAGTTGATTGTTCAAAAAGAAGCAGGTGGTGAATGAAAGCAAGAGACAGGAAAAGGAATGTTGTGGGACTGTCCTGCTTCAAGGTTGTATATGGTGAGATTTTTAGACTTATGTGTAAACATAGGAATTATATAATTCTTTATGCCTATTTTTAAAAATATATTCTAATTTTTAAATGTTTTTTCATCATATTCTGTAGGGACTTAAAGTTCAACATATCAATACTTGATGAAAAATACCTGTTCCATGTTATGCCTACGATGTTTGATATTCAGACAGATAGTGAGCTTAAGCTTAACAGCCTAGGTTGTATGGTAATAATAATAAGCTTTTCTTCTGGATGGTTAACAACCTAAGTTTGCAGACCAAAATTAGAGAAAAAGGAGGGCCGCAAGGAAAGCCAACATTTTGGCCCTAGCCTTCCAAGGCCAATTAAGACTCAGGACATATGAGAACTTGTACTGTAACATCATGTAACTTGGTAGTGTCCCAAATTTTCTGATCAAGGAGATTATGGGGCCAAAGAGGAAAGTGATCAATGATGTAGAGTGTGCCTAAGGAGAGTCACATGGAGAGAAAACATTCTCTCAGGCTTTCACAGAGAGCACATTGCCAGCAATGGCCGTGACTCATCCACATGGTTGACACTGACAAAGGTTCTACAATCTGAGGTACAGGATCTCAGGATAAATCCTGAGGGGATTTCACTGACCTTCTCAGACCCAAAAGCTACAACTCTTGTTGCATAGGTCCTGCTTTACCTTGGTCTTAACCATCCAGCAGAAAAGTATAAAAACAAGTATAAGAAGTAAAGCCATGGTGTTATATTGAGCTATGGGGGACTCAGGTCAACAATTTCTGACATTGTCAGTCAAGCGGAAGACCCAATACTATTATGGACTACTGGACTCTTTTAGAATATTCTGCTGAGTTAACACACCTATAATATTCAAATAACGGAACTTAACAAAAAAGGGGATACAGATGAATGTCCATTTTGTATCTGTGTATTCAAAATGGTTAGGATAGATATATAGTTACATTCTCTTAAAGAATAGAGGGATTTGTTCTAATAGTGTTTGTAAATAGGATATCATGTTCGCATCTTGTACAGCAATTAACCACTAGGAAGAATGTATGCAATGTATTAATTATTGGAACTGTCCTAACAATTTGGTTTGAAACTGTCTCATTGCTATTTGTTCATCAATAAAATTATGGAAAAAATACCAAAAAATAAAAAATAAAAATAATGAAAAAAAAAAAAAACCACACTACAGATTTTAAAGACTTAATAAGAAAAAAATTTCAAATTACTTATGGACAACTGTTTGGGCCTTTAAAATGTATGAGATATATAATGCTACATATCAGGTATATACGTCAACATGTATTTGATATATTAGGTTAAGGGAAATATATTGTTAAAATTAAAAAAAAAAAAAGAAAGAAAAGAAAAAACCTTGCCGGTTTAGTTTCTCTTTTCTTATTTTTTTTTTTTTTGTGACTGGGTCTCACTATGTCAACCTGGCTGGCCTTGAACTTCTGGTGATCCTCCAGCCTCTACCTCTTAAGTGTTGGGATTACACATGTGAACAACCATACCTGGCCACTGTTTGGTTTTCAAATGTACTTTCACCTTAAATATACACTGATTAAGCGCTGCCTAAAATACGAATGACCTCTATTAAACGATCAATGAATTATTTAACACAAAATATTTGTTCACTGATTTAAAACTAAAGGCAAAATTCATAGTCTTCATAAACTTTTTATTTTGGAAATTTGTGTTATCAATTTTCGTCACTGCACCTCCTCTGTGGTTCTGAAAAGCTTGATCTTCTGGCTCATGTACTCCATTATTCTGCACAGAACATTTTCATGTGATTTTTAGATGTGATGTATATAAGTCCAGTCACTATTGTGATTCTTCAGCAACTCTGCAGAACAAATGCAATGGGAACTAAGGGAGCCCAAGATGCTTTTATGGCTCCCCATTTCCTATGCCTACAAGAATTAGCTGGTGTGAGTTTAGAAAGCTCAGATAAGGGAAGAGAGAGACATTTATGGCGGTTTTACAAAGAACCTTACTTTTTTTTTTTTGTATTTTAGGGTAGGGTCTACAGGGTGTTCAGGGTCTCACTACTAGAATGGACTCATAGTGATCTGCTTGTTTACAGCCTCCCAAGAGCTGGGATTACAGGCATTGCGCCACCACAGTCTCAAATGCCATCTCAGTGAGCCCCAGGGGCGGCAAGGCAGGCCCAGAGAACATTACTTTGAAAACACCTCCCTTTAAAGTATCATATTAGTAAAAAATAAGCAATGCATGCTTACTCTGGGCTTTTTGAAGAATAGTTACAATGTAAAAGAATTTTAGCATGCCTTCCATCACTGGCCAGGGACTCTAAGATAAGTTTTTGTCTCTTTTACCTCTGCTTACCAAGAGTACCAGGTGGAAGAGGGAGAAATGGCAAGAAGCATTTCCCCTAAATGTCAGCTACAATAAAATGAGGAAAGGGGTACTTAGATGGGGATAGAGAAGAAGTTTCTCTTTTACTTGGTGAACTTCTGCACTGTTTGAAGTCTTTTTGGTAAACACAGTGTTTCCTAAGGCTTCCTATTACAACACCCTAGCAGATCAAGAATGTGGACTTACCTAGGAGACCAAGACTGAGATGTGAGCAGAGGACTGACTTGCCTCGATGCAATCAATTTGCTAAAAGCGGATGGGTAACTCACTTGGAAGACAGTCTCTTCTTTGTTTTGTTTCTCTACAGGAGAACTGGTACTACTTCGGGAACTGATGGTTTCTTTTCTAACAGAAAGAAAAAAATTGAAGGGCAGAAGATCACGTCTTTGTTCGTGGCAATCAAAGCAGCAAGTAAGAGAAAGAGAGTAATTTAACATACTTCTGGCTGGTTTTGTAAAGCAACTCTGCCATCCCCGAGTTTTTCGATGTTGGCCCCGTAGTGCTTGGGTTACTATGAGGAGGTGGTGCCAGCCGTGCATTACCATGCTGGGGCTCACTGTTACGATGACCAGTCTTTGGCTCCATGTGGCACAGCTCCTTAGAAAACACAAGTGCAGTGAATTTCAAATTTAAGTAACCTACATGTGTTAGATACTATATAGAAAATAAGTGACTTTTACTAAAGTATTACCAAAAGCAGAAACAGTAAGTACACACCAAAAGCCACACAGCATGGAAACAAATCTACCAAAACCATAGAAAGAAAGAGCTATCAAAATTACCTGTAAACTTTTAACATTTGTGTTTTTTGTAGCAGATCCAGAATTTGCCTGTGATCCTTTTCCAGGCATGAGTTTGGCACTGGAAGATTGTTCACTTGTATCTTTGATGAGGCACAATTTTGTATTTTTAAGTTTTTTGGGAGACTTCACCTTATCAGCAATTGTATTTGAGCTCTTTGCTTCACAGAGTTCTCTATTTTTCGGAGTAAATGACACAATGATCCTATTACCAAAGACATCTTCATTTTCCATTCGCTTCTGAGCCCGTTCTGCACTATCCTGGTTTATGAAGCGGAGAATTGCACTGCAGCCTGTGATACTCAGCACTTTCCCACCACAGTTATCAGACAGGCGCCTGAGCCTGTTGCTGATGCTCTTGCCATCTTTATTTGCTGGCAGGTTATAAACATAGAGCAGAGTGTGGCACTGCTGATACAAAGGAAAGACATGTTAATTAGGTTAGGCATGTTAAATGGTTAACTCAAGGGCATACAATTTCAAAACATGGGATGTGATTGTGAGTTTCGAGAACATAAAATTATTTAGTATTGGCAAGATAACTAAACCTTGTTATAAAAAAACAACGGGGATAGAAAACTACATATATTACATAATTCAATTCTATAAAATGTCCAACAAGGCAAATTTGCAGATACAGATTAGTAGCTGACTTGAGGTGGGAATGGAGATAAACTATGGATTAGCATAAGAGAACCTATTGAAATTATGGATATATTTTAAATGAGCACTGAATAGTACACTTACAAGTGGTAGGTTTATGCACTGTAAATCATAGTTTAGTAAAATTTTTACAAGTCTATTATATTTATTTAGAAGGGCTCTAGAATCATATTGCGTACAGGGCTGGGGAGATAGCTCAGCGGTCTAAGCACCTGCCTGGCAAGCACAAGGTCCTGGGTTCAATCCCCAGTACTGCATGCTGTGCTGGCCCCAGAACCCTGGGCACCCCATACCAGCCCTGAAACCAGGCATGGTGGTGCATGCCTGTAATCCCAGAGCTGGGAGGTTGAGATAGGAGGATCACTATGAGTCTGAGGATAATACCAAACTGGTAATAGTGATCACCTGTACAGGGTGGGGCTGTAGAGTTTTTACTTGCACACTTTGTATTTAGTTTTCATCCATTTTCCTAATAAACATTACTTTTCTAATCAGTGGCTTTTATTAGTATAAGAAAGGTGTTGATCAACAAAATCTATGCTTTTCCTATAACACCTTGGACTCAAGACGCAGGCAAAATACACATTTAATGTATTAAAGGGAAATAAAAAAAAAAAGAAAAAAATGTGTCAAGCTATCCCTCTAGTGATTGAGAAAAAATATCTGATAACAAATGTTTTAGCTGATTAGGGTCTTGCTTCTGCTTTTGTTTCAAATACTATATTTGACTTAATGGCCTTCAAAGCTAAAAAAAAAAAAGTGAGACAATAGGGAATTGACATGTAGATTCACGTAATTAGCATTCACTTCCTACTGTCCAAAGGTAGCTATTGTTTTATATCAAATAGATGGAAATGGATTTTTTTTAAATAAAAGGAAAATTCATAAGTATTAATTCTTTATTTGTAGAAGAAACACTGGAGGCTTCCAGGCCTAATTTCAAAATCCGATCAGCCTCCTACAAAAGGACAACTCTATTTGGATATCTCAATTTCCTTGTTAAGGGCTTTCAGCCTCTATAATATAACATTGGAAAATGGCAAAAATAATGTAAATCCACTTACTGGCATTTTTAGCGGTAACCTGGGAGGCAAATCCAAAATGAATTCTTCAAATCTGATCAGTTCATTAGCATGATGCAGCAGTGCTTCTGAGGCCTGGTTTTTATGGACTAAAATTATGTGGAAACCATGCCTGTGTCTCAGGTCACTAAGTTCCAATGCAAAATTAACATCAGCTGAAAGAAAATATTCAAATAAACCCATCTCTAAACATTAGAAACACTTGACAGTCCTAGGGACACCCCTTGGAAGAAAAGAGTGCTGGTTTGCATTCAAAATTGCTTTTCTCCCCTTATGTGAACAGAAATATATTTCCTAGCAGAACTGACATGGTAAGAAAATTTTACTACATACCTATGTAAAATTCTAAAACACACACTACTTCTAGCATTAATGGGGCAAATACATACGTATGTTGAGGAGACTCACATTTGGAACTTACTCATATTGGACTTTTTTTTTTTTTTTTTTTTTTTTTTGTGAAACT